TCCTCACTTGCATAAGAAACAGATAAAACTTGAAGTGACGCTGTGGGCTTACTAAAAGTGTTTGACAACATATCAGCAACGGAAGGTGCAGATGTAGAATGCAGCATGGTTTCAGTTGTAGCAGAACCTGGTGCCATTTGATGCAATATTTGGTCAAATGTAGAACTATCTTTATGAACCCTGGAGCTTTCAGCCAATATTGGATCACTAGGCACAACTGCAGCCGTGTTAAGCAGAGTGCCATCGCCAGAAGATTGGAAGGAGGGCTGCAGTAATGCTTCATTATTTAATGTAGCTGAGGTCTCATAAAAGTACGGCTGAGTCGAGGATAACATTTTGCTATAAGCAGGGGCAGAGAGAGCTTGATCTGAAGTTGCACTAAGCATAGGTTTAAGCAAAGTGTCATCAAAGGCTGGAGTTGTAACATGCAAAGGCTGAACGGAAAGGTGATTTTCTGTAAGTTTACTAACATCATGATCAAATATCTTAGTAGTGGGAAAAGCAAGAGAGACTGGAAGGATTCCCTTTGTGCTAGAAACAGGAAGTGGGCTTTCTTGCAGAGACATATTCTGCTTAATTACATCATTATTAGAAACAGATGTAGAAAGTTCAGGTATCACTTTACTTTCAGCATTGGAAGCCATTTCACTTAAAGAAGAGGAAATTTGCAGTTCTCTCTCATCTCCATATATAACATCACCTTTTTGAAGCATCTTATTAACATCACTAAACCCAGATGATTCATACGTAATTTCATCTACAGAATCAGAGGAAGAAACGTTAAGTACTGTCAAAGTATCTGTATCAGGCAAAAGGGACTCACTACCAGAGTACGCTTCAGACCAATCCGTATCACTAGATAGAGAGCGTGTAGGCTGCAGCAAAGTATCAGCTTGTGACATTACAGAAGAAGGTTTATGCACCAGTACATTGTTATAGCTGCTAAATAAAGGATCTTGACGAAATACGTCAACAGAATCATGCACAAATTCTGCAGAGTCATAGGAAACAGTAAAGCTTTGAAGGGAGCCCACGTTACTAGACAAAGCATAAGGAAGTTCAGACATTGTAGATAGTACATGCATATTTAAATCTCTGCTGGATGGTTCAACTTGAGAAAATATGTGAGTTCTATTATGACCAAATATCAGTGTCTCTGAAGCAGCATGAGTAGTCTGATGTGACACCACATCAGCATATTGAGCAAGGCTTGGCTGTATTAATGTATCACCCTCTGCCAATGTCAAAGAAGCATGCAGGGACACCTTATCACTTGCAACAGCTGGAGTAGCACTTTGTGGAAACATTTGAGAAACTGTATACAAACGGTGAAACATTTTACTACTGGAGGAAGCGGAGGAAAATGTAAGCAAAGGTACATCATCATAGGAAGACAGGGTGGGTTCAAATGACACATCAACACTGGGAAATACAGGTGTAGCATGCAAGGTCACATCACTATCTGATGTAGCAGGGGTAGTGTCGAGCATCTGAGAGTCAAACAATAAAGGGGTTACTAGAGGAAACACTTCACTACTGTAGGAAGGTTGAAGAGGTATCTCACCATTATAGACTGGTTGAGTTGTCTGAGAGAGTACCTCATTGGCAGCAGAAGCAGAACCATATTCTCCAGAGCTTGAAGAGATAGAGTGAGGTGATAATTCAGCAGAGGAGAAAGCAAAGGTAGAATAATGTGGCAATTCTAAATCCGCATCTGAAGTGTCTTGTGAAACCACTGGGCTGCTGGAATAGGGCACTGTAGCTGGCTTTAATCCCTCTACATAAGCATCAGTGTAACTGGTCTGAGACAATTGCCTGCTATCCGATGTACCAATAGATTGAGTTGTCAAATCTGTAGCATTACGAAACCATAAATTTCCATCAGTGGAAGAAGTATGCTTTGGAGGCTCATCAGAGCTTGAGGGTGCTACACCTTCTGAAACATACTTAATGGAGCTTTGGGAAAGAACATCACGCATGCTTATATCTGGGCTTCCTGAAGGAAGGGTGTCTTCTGGGGAGGTCTCCTCTGTAAGCAACTGTGCTGAAGAAGTGGTAAGAACTGAACTCCAAAAGTCATCAGATTCCTGATGAGGTTTAAAAGGAGACAATAAGAAATCTTCGTCACTATGGCCAGTAGTGGTTATTCTTGTTGGTTCAGTGCCTGAAGAAAGGTATATGTATTCTTCTTCTACGCCTTTGGTGGAGTCAATGAGTTGAGGAGGAATTCCAGTAATTGTTCGGGATTCCAAAAAAGCATCTTCCTCTTCAGAAATTTCACTAACAGGTGGAGAAGTAGGGTAATAAACTGCTTTGAAAACATCATCCTTACCATGCAATTCTTCTTCTTTTGTTAAGTATCTATTTGTTTTAGCTTCACTGGGTTTTGTCCCCATTTTTTCTTGACTGTAGCTGGATGTAGTCACCTGGAAATCTTTCCTCATTTGGTTTATTGTACTGTCAGTGCTAGGAATCACTGCAGTTTCTTCATCCACCTCTGTTTCCTTTTCATCAACTTCATCCTTCGAAAAAATATCATAGTCGAAGACAATTAAAAATGTTTATAGATACTGTACACAAACGAAAACCAAAACTGCAATAATACATTTTCCTGGCTCCATAAAAACAAGAGAGGCAAAACAAGACAACACTTGAGAAGACGGTTGGTCTTAAAGCAAAGTATTTAGCTGCAAGAACAGGTATCCTCTTCTCTCTTGAAAATATTACTTATTTGCAATACAAAAAAAAAAATCCTGTTTCACAACAACTTCTTAAATATTGTGTTACTTTTACTCTGTTTGAGAGACAAAACCCATTCATAGTATTTATTTACTTTATTAAAAAAGTTCTACCTCTTTCCTAATAAAATGCAATCGTATATGCAGTGCACATCAATGAAAAAATGCTTTTCCTATCAGAATGTCTTAGATATTTGCACTAATATCCTGATGTTGATTAAATTGTCATAGTAACAGAATTTGTAAAATATATTTATGACCTGTCCTTAAATCTGCTGAATCTTCAGAGTTTTCTGGAAAAGAAGATTTCAGGATGTTCAGCATGACTGTAACAGTTTCACAAGTGTTGTGAGTGACTCCCTGTTATGACCTTTTGTTTGCTGAACATGAATAATGATACTTTGTGAAAAATCTGTGTAACAGTTTTGACTTTTAAGGACAGATCCAAAAAAAAAAAAAAAAATTACATGCCTAAATACAATCAGGATTTAGGCAGTCCTTGAAGATCGAAGTTCAAATCTTTCCATCCCCTCTCCAACTTTCCCTGCCCCAAATCAAAAAACGTAATGTGGAAGTATCTAACTTGCTCAGCAGGCATTTTCGTTTTGACCTAGACACAGCAGCACCTGCAGCTTTGTGCTGTGCCCCCATCTAGAACTGCACCAGAACCAAACCTGTCCGAGCACAACTCTGCAAACTGGAATGAGGGGCACGTTCAGTTTCTGAAGGGACTTGATTTGATAGGCACGCATAGCCCTAAGAGACACCAGCAGGACAGAGCCTCTCGCAAAATACAGTTGCAACTCCTTTTTCTTTTGAAGATCTGGCTTGGTGATGTGGTGGCAATACCCACGTATTTTTATTCAAAAGCATAATGTTGAGAGAAAACACCCAGAAGACAGGAGACTGAGGGACCGTTATCAGTCTAAAAAATCCTCAGTTTCCACTATATTTTAGACTGAGTAGATGTCCCACTCCTGCACTGAAGTGAACAGGGCACAGCAGAGAGAAGAATGTAAGATCAACAGCTTTTGAAAGAAAGTGCCCAAGATGAAGCACTGCTGAATAAAATTAACTGGGGCACTCGGCTAATAGGAGTTGTTAGCTTTTATCCAGTCTCACCTAGTGGCTTTAACCACTAGGCTAGAGCCGTGCTTCACACTGCAGTTCCTTTTTTGTACCAGGAACTTCTAGTGCACTCACACAATATAATGTACCTCAGACATGACTCTCAGGTTTGGATTTCATTCCAAGGGCAAAATACCTAAAATGTAGGGACAGCAGCACCTAGACTGTGTGTCCTCAACCCAGACTGGACTGGACAGATCCTTGTTTCTGAAAATCTACTTTCTGTAGGGCAATGCCTGCACTTTTAAACTTTCTTGGATCAAGTAAAATCAGTTGACATTCACTGGCACTCAGTTACTGTCCTGACAGATGCAATATAATCATCTAGATACGTAGCTTACATCAACAGAGAAATAACTGTATTATTAGTAACTCAGCGTCCACAAATACAAGGGAGGGTAAATGATAGACAGGTATGCACAGGCTATCTATTTAACTAACAAGGACTTGCCACTCAGTGAGAATATTGTAGTCATAGATTGAAACTATAAAATAAAAATTCTGAGGGATTACTTGATACAAATATAGGTCTTACTGACAGAACTGTCCATGTTGTAAAATTGGTATTAGAGACTGTTAAAAACTTCACTGTGATATTTCCACCTCTCTCCTTGCTGGGACACCAGGAACCTAGTTACCAAATATGAAGTCTGCAGAGCTTATCACAAAACCATCCAAAATTGTGTAAAATAGAGTTATACTGCGAAGTCTAACTTGAGTTCAAGGAGAGAAAATGACCCTCCAAGAATTTTGGACTAACTATTAAATTCAACCGATAGCACACTGATAGCAGACATACATGAATCTCACTCTTCAGCACAGCTGCCTTCCTCCCTTACTTTAGTTTACTGAATGCTAAGACCATCATAAGCAAGCCCAAGTCAGATTTCTCTTTAAACACACTAAAAAGCCTAACACTGGGTGACAGCTTTGATTCTGCTAAATGAACATTTTTGTCAGACTTCACTCAGAGGTGACAATAACTTGATGCCCCGTTTTCAAAAATATTTAGGCATATGCTGAGATATCCCTTACTCCTCCTTGTATCTTCAGCCCCAGAGAACTATATAGCGAGGTATCTCTAGAGTTATCTAGGGAGAAATATAGCTGAAAGAGAAGGCTGTATATGCATATATATGTATGTATATATAAATGCAGATAATACATTCAGCTGGTGACATAGTTTTGTAAATTTTCACAGAATATGAATTCAATTTAGTTGAAATGTACTCTCTTAAAATTTGAAATACTCTCTTAAAAATAAATGAATGCTATACCTCATATTCTTCAGTTTCATTCAGTTCAGGAATGAGGTCAGCCTCTATAAAACAAAAATACACACCATATCATCCAACATTTTAAATTCACAGAATTATTAATTCTGCAAGGACTCAACTGATTAGTTAATACGTTTATTGAGACCCAGTCTAAGATGTTTTATAGGATTGTGTTTGGAGAAGTGGCCAACCACCTGGGTTGAGAACTGGCTCTAAGGGTAGCAATGTTCATCTAGACAGGACACATTCAGCCACAACAGTTTTGCCTGGCTCTAATTTGATACTGCAGCACATGTTGGATCTGCACTGAGGAACCATAACCTGGCCAGGGAGAACCAAGTTTACGAGAACGTTTTCTGTGAGAAAGTACAGTTTAATGCAGAAATACAGAAGAGAGAAAACAGGTAAGTCAGGCAATCA